GGGGGGGGGGGGGGGGGAATTGAAAAAAGAGCAAATAACGGCCGGTTCACTGGGCAGTTCAGTTTTTTCAGCTTTTTTTATTTTCGGGTGAACCGCCGGGCCGACTCGGCGGTTCACGGCTCACATATTTCTAGAACTGGGCCCGGCCTGAGAGACACGGGCCGGTTCACGGTTCCGGGGCCGGTTCACGGTTCACGGTTCACGGTTCACGGTTCCGGGCCGAAAACCGGACCATGGTCATGTCTAGTTTAAACAGTACACCTATATGGTTAGCTGTGAGTTCCTTCAATACCAAAAAAGATTGAAAATAACCATTACTTTACCACATTAACATCAACATCAAGCGCGCTGGAATTCTTCTAAAAATTGTAATGGAGTCTCTTGAACATGCTCGGAAAGGAATGCTACAAATACTTGAGCATATGAAGATAGCGATCAATGTAAATTGGACTGAGGAGTGCAGAAAATTTCCACGAAGAGGTGATCAATGTAAATTGGACTGAGGAGTGCAGAAAATTTCCACGAAGAGGTAGGAAGGTCACATGTATGTATTCCATCGAATGTAATCAATTTTATTGATCGTTTGATATGATAATTGATGCAGTGAAATTAAAGTACAATGATGTGGCGATCGACCGCATAAATGGTGAACTGAGTGCATTGGAAAGAAACATTGATAGAAAAGGTGTGCTTATTGCTATTTTTGTTATGCGATCTTTTAAAATCATGCACTTTGATACCGTATTTATGCTACAGATGTAACTCTCTCAGTAGATAATGGTTTTGTTACCATCGATGTTGCTAATCAATCAACATTGGATAAAGTGCTCAAAGAGTTGTTGTTTGGTTGTTAAAAATTTGAGGACCGACTAATTTCTCGTTGCCAACTGGTTTTATTTAATCCCATTGCCAACTGGTTTTATTTAATCCCATTGCCATTTGATACTGTGTTTTAAAGTTCACTGATTATAATATGGAAATATCGTCACATGAAATTTCAATTTCGATTATTTGTTGCTTTCTAACTTGTTCTTTTCAGATTGGTTTCATAGTTGGCGATGAGATAAAAAAGGGAGGTGTTTATAAAGGCGAAGTAATTTCAATAAACTTGTATGGTGCCTTTGTGGAGTTCACTGGAGGCCAATAAGGTTTCCTGCATACAATACACCGGTTTGTGCATTTTTAATTATGTTTACTTTTGTGAATTTTATTGTTAATGTTTTTTTCTTTTCATTTTTTCATTATATTTTTTTTTTAGAATGCGAGGTTTCTAAAGTTGGTGACGTAGTAGAAGTAGGCAAACAATTAGACGTAACATGCATAGGTGTCGACGTAGGTGGTGGTATCCACCTATCTCTCTGCACTACTCGTCCCACTGTAGAAGGAACATATTCTGTTCCTATGAAACGAAAACAGATTTCAAAGCGTGCACGAGACAAACTGAAAAACGAGAAACCTCGACTCAACAAGTGGACCCCTCCTCCTCAAGGAAAGCTGCAACTACAAACAGACGCATCTTATAACCATAAGACTACAGAAGCATTTGGTGGGGGGTCATACGCGACGGTTTAGGAAATATGCATGCTTCCTTCACGAGTAAGTATGCATATGTCGTCGAGGGAAGTACTATGGCTGAGGCAATGGCTCTACGAGATGGCCTCAAACTGTGTGTTTCGATGAAACTAAAAGATGTGGAAGTTCAGATCGACATCTCCTCCATTGCGCAGCTGATTTGAAAATCAGACTTTTCAAAGGAATATCCATTTGGATTGGAAACGGCTTATGAAAAAGTAATTGAAGAGTGCCAGTCAAAGGTCTAGCACATTAGACATGAACTTTTTCCGAGCCTCAATTAATAAAGAGAGAACAAGCTTTCAAGTTTCAAGGGATGCATTTTACATCTAAGGTAGAGTAATAAAACACTATAAATTTTGTTTAGTAACAGATATATGGCATAATAGCACCATAGATTGGCTTCCTCTCCATCACAAAAGTTTATCGCAAAACATGAACATACAAAAGTTAAAGATGTAGAGTTAATTTTCACGAAAGAAAAGGTAAACGCATATGCCAAGAGTGCTCCTTACAGTGATGTCGGTTAAAATCGGTAGACTGTTATTTGTCCAGTTGATATGTCGGTCTGACTCAGTAGTCCCACGGATAAACAAACGACGTGTCCGCTCAATGGAATAACATCCATCAAAGCTATGTTGCCTAAAAAAAATTAATGCATGTAACTATCTAAAATAATCATATAAATGTATTTGTAAAGGACATCACATATTTCACAACAAACAAATGTCATGAATATTGATCCATCATATCCTTCGACTTTTGAATTGATAGAAATAGGATATGAAAAATGTTTTACATGTGGTAATATATGGACATACGCTTTCTCAGCAAGAGTACCAAATGAATACTAATAGACAATCTAATCACCAATAATTTTTTTTTTCCAGTTCATAACATGCACAAAGTCAAAGTTGCATTGATGACTTTTGTTTAACTTTGTTGGTATCGAAAACCGTTTCTTATTCTCTGACATTACAACTTACAAAATCAGATTTACACTAAAGCATCCATCATGCTTCATAGTTAAATGCATCCACAATCACGAGATCTTAAAATAACATGTGAACCAATGACACATAAGAATAAACAAGTATGTAAGAAAGACAAATATAAATGTAGGAATATGAATAGGCTAAGGTCAAAATAAAATGTCATTTTACGTAATAAAGGGACAAAAACATCAGAAGCACGCCATTCTCGATTTCCTCTTTATCAGAATCTGACGGAATAATACAACTAGCCCATACCCTCTTTGTTGAAGGAGAAATATGTCCAGGGTTTTTAAAGCTTACATCACAAATAACCTGTAACAAACAAACTTAATGATGTGCATTATAAAAAAATATATGAAGAAAGTGTTCATCGGACAAAATATTTTCTCACCTCGGCATCGTAAGAATTGCGAGTCGTAAGTCGTAAGATTTTTTAAATTTCTTTAAAAATAATATTAATATATTAAACGATGTACACATATTTGTGAGAGATTGTATATATATTGTTGGATAGAAAATCTACAACTAAACTACGAAAATTAT